ACTACGTAGTTTTCCATTATGTCACCTGTCTTACTCAGGTGATAATTNTGTCTCATTTTAGTATTTAATGTTTCAATTGCATCATTTTGATTCATGAAGTATTGAATATATTTTTATATGATCCTTAAAGCAGACAATGTCTAGATTACTAACAATTTTTTATCATAAATTTGTCACGTGAAACTTAAATATGCACAAAAATTAATTTGAATAATTTTTGATCAAATTTTTACTAAAATTTTGATAATAGCTACCTAAATTATATAGTTTTGATCATGAGCTATCTAAATTTAGTTAAAAAGCTACTCATATTACATATTTTGTTATCAAGAGCTACTCAAATTTTGTTTAAGAGCTGTCAAAGTTATTTTTTGCCCATATTTAGGTATTACATGACAAGTTTATGATAAAAAATCGTTAGCAATCTAGATGTTGTCTATTTAAAGAACCATATAGAAACATATTTAATACTTTAGGAATTAAAATGATACAATTGAAACATTGAGGAATCAAAATAAGACAAATCTCATACTTTGGAAACTTTTAGTGCAATTAAACCTTGAATTTATAAAAGAGGGCGGATGTTGATGTTCAAACCCATGACCCGACGACAATCCAACAATGAGCTACGATAGTTATTACGTTAATCGCTGATCATCAATGAACCTTGTTAATCCCATATAATAATTATTAAATCTGAAAATCATTAGTGGTTATAGAGTTTATTAAGATCCATTAGTCTTATATATTTACTAGCAATAACTTGTGCCTAAAGACACACTAAGTAACTTAAAAAACATTAAGCACTGGTTTTTTTATTATTTTTTTAGTTACACAATTCAAAATTAATTTGAAAATATTATTTTTAAAATTTTTTTGACAAATTTCATTTAAAAACACAATCCCTAAAAAATATTAATATGTACACAATTTATATATTTAATCATTATATTTAAAATATTAATTTTCTTTTGGGTAAGAGTCGATATTGGCGTGTGTTAGTGAGAGAGGGTTATATGAGAGATATGATAAACGTATGAGAAATGAGAGCATGAGATAGAGAGAGTTATATGTGAGATGGGAGAGTGTGTGTTTAAATTATTTGTTTGAGATTCCTTGTTATTAGAGTTTTNCACACTAAGTAACTTAAAAAACATTAAGCACTGGTTTTTTTATTATTTTTTTAGTTACACAATTCAAAATTAATTTGAAAATATTATTTTTAAAATTTTTTTGACAAATTTCATTTAAAAACACAATCCCTAAAAAATATTAATATGTACACAATTTATATATTTAATCATTATATTTAAAATATTAATTTTCTTTTGGGTAAGAGTCGATATTGGCGTGTGTTAGTGAGAGAGGGTTATATGAGAGATATGATAAACGTATGAGAAATGAGAGCATGAGATAGAGAGAGTTATATGTGAGATGGGAGAGTGTGTGTTTAAATTATTTGTTAGAGATTCCTTGTTATTAGAGTTTTAAATCGGTATTAGATGTGTTTTGTTATTATTAGATATATATAACTGTCCAAAAGAGAGTTATATAAGAGATGAGAAAGAGTTATATGAGATATGAGAGTTTTAGAGTTGCAAAAATAATGAAAGTCCAATTAGGGAGAGAAAGTTAGATGAAAGATAGGAGTCTTAAAAAATTTTCGCATGAGAAACATTTGATCAATAATCGTCAAACAATCTGAACTGCAAAAAGTTCAAAACAAACTTTTTTAACTACTTTATTATATATACTAAGATAACTTGTGTCTGAAGGCACAATACAACGTAAATTAATCGATTAATTTGAAAAAGTGAAGAATGAAGATCCCAAAGAGAGAGAGAGAGAGAGGAGAGGAAGATAAAATTCAATGTGAATGATTTTAAGAAAATATTGATGGTCTTTGGATGAATTTATTTGAGTTCATCGGATGAACTTATTGAAACATATCCTGTTTTATATTATAAATAATAATTTATTAGTGACACTAGACAATAATGAAATAGTATCAACGTTATATTTAATATTTTATTTCGTGTTTTATTTCAGCAAAAAGTAATAAAAAAACAGCCATACCCGACCTATATTTTCCACTATTACTATTAGAGCAATGTTATTAGACCTAATTTACTAACCTAATTCATTATTGTCTTTGGATTGATTGTGGAGTCTATCAAACAATAGAATTTGATAGTAATTCAACTGTTTCAATGAAATAACATTATTAGGTCAATAAATTAAATTAATTTTTTTTAGTTCAAATAGACTAATAAGACAAAAAAAAAATGCTAGGACCTTTAACTTGCCGTTAAAAACAAAACAGTATACTACTTCCTCTTCACCGGCTATTGCCGGCAACAATAGAGAATTATTATATAGAATTAGTGAATTAACATTATAGAGAAATAGTGAATTCAGATTTAATTTTAATATGTTTAGGTGTCAAATTAGTGAATCTCTTTGGCCAATCAATTAAATAGATGGAAATGAAATTGATTGACAGAAGCTTACTAAATAAGATTTATATATTTTTAAATTACAGTGCAAACTCAATATAATACAAATCTCTATAAACTATTTAAATAAGCCGTGAATATCCTCCAAAACTTTATTCTTAATTTTTTTTTTTTTTTAGTTTTTAAATTTTTTATTATTGAAAAATGATGTCACTTTTTACAATTGGCTATTATTGTTAAAAAAATATATGAAAATTTAAGTTTAATATAACCAATTCTATTTAATTTAAAATTTAAAATAATTTAATCAACTTCTAAAATTTTACTGGGCCTTAATTTTTAAATTATGTCATAATATTATTAGTGTTTTAATAATCCAATTCTCCGTTAATATATAACTCCAAAAATTTCTCAATTGTCCCAAATTTTTCTCCTACTATCTCCCCCTTTCCCTTCTCTCTCTCTCTCTCTCTCTCTCTCTCTCTNATTTACTAACCTAATTCATTATTGTCTTTGGATTGATTGTGGAGTCTATCAAACAATAGAATTTGATAGTAATTCAACTGTTTCAATGAAATAACATTATTAGGTCAATAAATTAAATTAATTTTTTTTAGTTCAAATAGACTAATAAGACAAAAAAAAAATGCTAGGACCTTTAACTTGCCGTTAAAAACAAAACAGTATACTACTTCCTCTTCACCGGCTATTGCCGGCAACAATAGAGAATTATTATATAGAATTAGTGAATTAACATTATAGAGAAATAGTGAATTCAGATTTAATTTTAATATGTTTAGGTGTCAAATTAGTGAATCTCTTTGGCCAATCAATTAAATAGATGGAAATGAAATTGATTGACAGAAGCTTACTAAATAAGATTTATATATTTTTAAATTACAGTGCAAACTCAATATAATACAAATCTCTATAAACTATTTAAATAAGCCGTGAATATCCTCCAAAACTTTATTCTTAATTTTTTTTTTTTTTTAGTTTTTAAATTTTTTATTATTGAAAAATGATGTCACTTTTTACAATTGGCTATTATTGTTAAAAAAATATATGAAAATTTAAGTTTAATATAACCAATTCTATTTAATTTAAAATTTAAAATAATTTAATCAACTTCTAAAATTTTACTGGGCCTTAATTTTTAAATTATGTCATAATATTATTAGTGTTTTAATAATCCAATTCTCCGTTAATATATAACTCCAAAAATTTCTCAATTGTCCCAAATTTTTCTCCTACTATCTCCCCCTTTCCCTTCTCTCTCTCTCTCTCTCTCTCTCTCTCTCTCTCTGTATATATATATATTACATACTATAGCAATCAATTAAGGAGAGAGTGTACTTATGAGACCTTTCTTCGTTAAAAACTACTTTTTGAAAATTTAAATTATTTAATAAAAATACATTAATCTCATCAAATTAAATTCTTCTCACAAAATTACTTTTATTGAGTTTTTCATCCTCCTTAATTTAGCAAAATAATGGATAGTTGTCCAATAATATTATGGTCAAGAATAGGGTGGGATGAGGGATCGTATGACTGTGGTTAGAGAAATTGAAAATACCATACATTATTTAGGCTCCGTTAATTCAAATATATAAGAATCTAAATGACTCAAATGTGTATTAAATGAAATTTAAAATGATACGACCAACTGATAACTCTAATACTAATGAGACTATGAGAGATATAAGGGAGACAACTATTAAGAAATCGGAGTTTTTCATCAAATTACCATGCTATTGTTATTTATTTTGTATTATGTTTTAATTTATATTTATTCACATAAAGATTTAAATTTATATTTTTCAATACAAATTCAGTTTGAATATTTTTTATTGAAATTATGTCTTACAAAACCCTCTTTACAGTGAAAATAGTATGATTACATTTGACAATAATAAATCAAATATTTATAATATAAAATAGAATAAATTTCACTAAGTTCATCATATGATATCAAATAGATTTATCTAATCACTACTAATATCCCTAAAAAAAAAATATAAATTTACGTTACACTGTTCAGATACCGGGTTTTCCTAGTGATATATATATATATATATATATATTAGAATGCNATATATAAATTTACGTTACACTGTGTTCAGATACCGGGTTTTCCTAGTGATCTATATATATATATATATATATANAATATAAATTTACGTTACACTGTTCAGATACCGGGTTTTCCTAGTGATATATATATATATATATATATATTAGAATGCATGGCACAAATGTAATAAAGTAAAAAAAGAAAAAGAAAAAGAAACGAAGGAGTATATGAAGGTCTCTGGCGTAAAGCAGCTCATTTTGCAAAGAGAGACAATTTCATGTCCACACTCTCGCTGTCTCACTCCCCTTATCTTCTCTTTTCCACTTAAAATCACTCTCACCCTAAAAGTCAATTAGATCACAACCGGCAAAACCTATTCTCCGGTCGCCGGAACCCTAATCTAAGTAGAGGGTTACGATCAATCCGTAATTACTGTGTGTATTAGCTAAAAGAAATAGTGAGCTAATATGGAGTTTGAGCATCAAGAAGAGCAAGAAGAGGAGATTGAGCTGCCACCAAGTTACGACTCGCTTGGAAACTCAGCTCGACCTAAAATGCCAAGCCCAGTTGGAGATGAATCGCCGAGGAAGCCTAGATATAGAGAGTGTTTGAAGAACCATGCGGTGGGTCTCGGTGGTCACGCCGTAGATGGCTGCGGCGAGTTCATGCCCGCCGGAGCTGATGGAACCATCGATGCCCTCAAATGCGCCGCCTGTCACTGCCACCGCAACTTCCACCGTAAAGAAATTGACTCCACGGTTGTCGGTGGCGCTGAAACCTTCAATTTCCGTCATCACCATCTATTGACCCACCACCCTCACGGCCAGTTCTCACCATACTACCGAACTCCATCTGGGTACCTCCAGGTGGCGCCACTTCAGAGGCCGCTGGCTTTGCCTTCCATTTCCGGCGGCGGCGGTGGTGTTGTTGGGTCGGGGGAGGACCAGGAGGACATGTCAGACCCAAGTAATAGTGGGATGTCAAAGAAGAGGTTTAGGACCAAGTTTACACCAGAACAGAGAGAGAAAATGCTGGGTTTTGCGGAGAGGTTGGATTGGAGGATTCAGAGGCAAGATGAGGCTGTGGTGCAACAATTCTGCAATGAGGTTGGGGTGAAAAGGCATGTACTGAAAGTATGGATGCATAACAACAAGCATACCCTTGGTAAGAAACCCTAGAATATGGAAAATAAAACCAACAAACATGAAGATGATGCAGTGATATATATATCTATGTTTGTCATATACCTATTGTTCTAGTACTTGACATGACTGTCAATTGTGCTTTCTAAGGGCTCTATTTTTCTCAGTTTCTGTTTTTTTTTTCTTTTAGTGTTTAGGTTTATGTAGTGCTGATGTTTGGATAGATTTATATATCTGTATGTCCATCTGATTTACGACATGAGTGGTGAGTATAAGTAGTACTAGATTGTGAATTTTTTTTTTTAATGATTTTGTGCATGTTTTTTAATCAGTTATAAGTTATAACTAAGTAATTCTACTATTCTAGGGACTATAGAGACATGGATGACGCTACTTTTTCTTGAATTTGACCCTTTAATTTTAAGAGCATAGAGCTTTGTGATGTGCTAGCTCCGGCATCCATCGGAGGCACAGACTTGCGGTGAGATGTCTGATTTTTCTGTTTTGTCTCTCTCTCTCTCTCGTATGTGTCCCTGTGGACTGTGGTCATTTACTTCTTTCAAATTTCAACCTATCTTTTTGTTTTGAACCAGAAAACTTTAAGCTAGCCACCATGGACAAATGTGTTTGTACGAAAGAGAGAAAAAGAAAAGAGGAGAGGGGGGAGGGGGAGTAGTCTTTATGGTTTGAAGCACTGTACGTGAAAGGAATTCATTAAGTGCACTTTTTCTTCCTTTTTCAACACATATCCCTCGTCCTGCATTAAATGTGGATGCTCTCTCTCTCTCCCCCGGGTTTTAAATTTCTTTCTGTGATATCACAACCATTGCGTGCCTGCTTCCCCTTTCTCCATCCTCTTTAAGAAGGCATACCACCAGCTTTAAATGGTAAACAAGGAAAAGGTTGCATTTACTATATACAATGCATTTATGCGTGTAATGGTTTTCATTTTGAACTTTTAAATATGACTAATGGTATAGGAATTTTATTGGAAAATTTAATTTGAGAATTTAACGATGTGACTTTAATGTAATAATTATATTAGTTGTAAATTATAATATTAGATGAAATCTACAATCAATCTAATGATTGTACATCATTAGGTTCTTATATTAAGTCCTTAAATTAGATTCAAATAATATTTTTTATATGTTAGTACACATCACATTTTAATTTTACATCCAATAATAATATTTAGCTTTAAAAAAGTCACATAATCAATCACAATTATTTATTTACTAATGAATTCCAATAAATACATGGACTCATACTAGGATGACAGTGGACCGAAGCGGGGGCGGTGTGTACTCTCCATTCCCGTACCTGCTTAAAAAAACTCCGTCCATTCTCAGTTTACCCCTATTAACAGGTATAATTTTCATTCTCATCCTCCGCGGGTAAATTTTTAATTCTCGCCTCCGTCCCCGCTTCCCCATACCCGCACAAGCCTAAGTTCAAGCTCAAGTCAATATAAACCAAAATTCTAAATAAATCTAATATTTTAAATAATCCAACAATAATCTAAATAATCTAACGTAACATAATGTTCTAAGCTCCTGAGATTAGTTATTGCATTAACAACTTAATGCATATGGCCTATGGACAAGGCTAAGCTTCAGGTAAATTATTTAAAGTGGAAGTGATACCAATCCAAACAACAATTCAAAAGGAGAAAGAACACAAACATATGTATAAGAACAACAAGAAACATGATAGATATCGTTCAAAAAGAAATGGAAAAGACAGAAAGTATAAATTATTTCTCATTCTTTTCTAAAAAGACAGAAAGATATAATCCATCATGGTCATGAAGTAATTGAATAACTAAGATATAAATGCATAAATCAAGTCATTATAAACCATTATGTAGTCAAAGCAAAATCAGGGCACAAAACTCATTTACTGAGGCAAGAACTTTAGTAAAATCAAGTAAAATACAGCCGCATTCACCACTCGACAACAATCAATCCTACGGAAAGAAGTCAAACCAACAGGCATCAAGTGAACTTCCTTGCTTTAGATTATCTGAAAAGCTATTGGCCCCTTCTAGTGAGTCATTGGATGCTAGAATGGATATGACTTGTGAGGAGTGGTCGGCTGTGACTTGTGAGGAGCTGCTGCTGAGTTCAGCGATCAGCTATGCCGATGGGTGTGGGTGTCTGTTTCACTGTGAGTGAGAGAGAGAGAGAAAGAGAGAGAGAGATGGAGGCGGCAGCTGAAGGCTGGTAGGTGAAGATGTGAGTAAATTAGGGCTTTAAACCTTTAAGGCTTTAACTGGGATAGAGAGAATTTATATATATATGTGTAATATATATATATTTTTTAACGGGTAAAACAGGGACGGGACATGAATAAGGGTAAGTTCATTCCCACCTTCATTCCTGTATGAGTTTATACGGGTATTTTCATATACGCTTACCGTCTAATACATATAGTCTATCTCCAATCCAAATAAAACAAGTTTAAATAAATACTCGTTTTTCTCCGGTACGCTGTGATTCGTAACTCATACTCAATCTAATAACCATTTAGGTCAACAAATTACTTCACCATTTTAAATTCAAGTATGACAATGCTCTTTTGCATATGTCTATGAGTGAGACCTCTGTGAAGAAGAAGGTGGAGCCCAGATGTTTTAACCTCGATGAATGTGTACCTTGGGAAAGGAAAGAGCTCAACTCAATCACAATGTTATATTTTATGCCAACAGTGTTGTATTCTTATTCAGTATTTACTTATTTATTTTTGTTTGTTTTCTAATTTTCTTGGGAAAGAGAAGGCTTATATCATCTACAACTGTATATCATGGTCCTACATTGAAAAACTCGAACTCAAGTTGGGGTATGTCAATGTTCGAGAAAGTCGATAGATCCAAAGCTTGAACTCAAATTCCAATTTCTTCTTCTTTCTTTTTGATGCTCCAAGGTTTTTTTTTTGTTTTGTTTATATATCTAAGACCTATTTTGATCTTTGATGATATATAAGACGTGTTTATGTACAATCTATCAAGTATTAAAAGTAATAATAAATGATAAATTAACACAAATAAAACACAATTTAAGTAGTTCGTAGGGGAGGTTCAACAGTATTAAAAAAAAAGTTAGGTTTTAGGTCCCAAATTTTTAGAAAGTTTCAAAATTTTTGGTACATTATCAACCAAGAAAAAATTTAAATTCATTAAATTTTAAACACTAAAAAAAATGCCCCCCAAAATTAAATATAATCAAAATTTTTATTGTAATAATTTGGGTCCATGATCTAATCTAATCCATAACTTCAAAAACTTAAAAATCATAGTTGAAAAAATAAAAAATGCTTAGACATTAACTCAAATTTATCGCTATCTATTCTCCCTATGTTTAAAAATAAGTAAAAAATATAAAACAAAGTTGAAATTAAACTCTTTCTCTGATAAAAAATAAAAACAAAAATTAAAACATTTTTCTAGGTAACACTAGCATGTCCTTCTTCTGTCTCTCTCTCACATAATAAATTAAAAATAAATTAATTTTTTTAAAAAAATTAATATTAAGAATAAAAAAAAATCATCATTTAGTGTTGTCGTTTTAGGCCTCAAATTGCTTTAAGCCACCCCTAATGGTTCGGTCAGGATGACCTACTCCACTATTAAGGGTTAGGATAGCTTGAGTATTTTATTTCTCAAGGAATGTAGAATGCTTAGATGTGAGTGATATGTGAGAGATGTTCCCCTTGTGTATGTGGGTCTTACAATTTATATGCGCTTCCTAACGGATTTAGGCGCTTTTCTCATATCAAGTGAGGTAGTTTGGTGAAGGTGGCGCCCTTCTCGTAACAGGCGAGATAATTCTGTGAAGGTGGTGACGTGCGCGTCCCACTGAGATCTAATTGCATCTCAATTGTGGATTGAGTCTCTCGCCATGAGGCGGCTAACCCGACTCTCTCTCAAGATGGTGCGATTGACCTGATCTTGCTTACTCTTCCTATGGTGGGCCTGTCCTACATTCCAAAATTGGGCCTTTGAGCTGGGTTTGGCCTGTGATTCAGTGTTTGGTCTGTAATTTTGGGTCAGGCCCATCATTTGCCCTCTATGCTTCGAGCTCAATGGAATTTGGGAGAGAAAGCATTAGCAAGGATAAATTTTGCCTCTTGTTCTTTATCCTTGTTCCCAAGTACTAATTGTGTCCTTGCTAATATTGCTATGAGAATTTGAATTCTTGGGTTGGCGGGCACTCTCTATTGGTGGAGACTTATCGTTGTTTTGACTTTCTTCTAGGGAGCTTGTCTCTTGCCTTAAGCCTTTAGATTGGGCTCCTTATCCCACTTTGATTAGGATTTCTCATTTTAGGTTGTTTTGGATATCTCATTCCACCCTGATTAAGAGACTTCATTCCAATCCTATTGAGACTCCCAACTTGATTAGGATGCTGTCAAATTTGAAACTTTGGCTATAAATAGGGTTTCTTCACATCAATTCTCCTAACTCAGTCTGAGAAATAACAAAAAGAGGTGAGATGTCGAGTGGATTGGGACTCAAGGAGTAGGCCTTAGGTAAGGCGACACCAAGAGGCACCACGAAAAGCGCAGGTGATAATGCTATAATAGGGGCGCTGAGGCAAGAAGGGGCGTCACTGGTAAGGGCGCTGGCACAGGCGCCGTGGAAGCAGGTGTAGGTGGGGGTGCCACGGGCATCGTGGAGGCGAGTGTAAGTAGGGCGTTGTGGGCGCAAATGCTGTGGAGGCGGGCGCATAAAGGTGGGCGTAGGCAAAGGTGCGTAGAGGTGGGCGCAGGCAAGGACGAGGGCGCCCAAGAAAGCGTGGGCACATGGGCAGGCGCAGACGCTGGGGATGGCACGGGTGCCAGGGAGTAGGTGGCAAGCGCTGCGGCACAGGCTAGGTGCAAAGACGGAGCTGCACATGGAGTTAGGCACTGGGCAAGCAACGAGAGGTGACAGAGGTATTCTTTCCCCATATCCATAAAGATGCAAGTACCATGGTAAGGTGGTCGTTGATGACAATGGCTCTAAGGTGAGCTCTATTTCTAGCTCTCTCAATACTTATGCTAAGATTACTAGGATTATATCTCCTTTTTGCATTCCCTCTACAATGTTGTGCCACTAGGCTGAGATGGTTGAACCAGCCTCTGATAACTCATCCAAGGACCTTGTTGTATATGAGGTGGTGCCAAAAGTAGGTCTAAGGTTCCCGATGCCTTCATTTGTGTGCCTCATCTTGGCATACTTGTCACTCATTCTAGGGTGGTTGGCCCCTAACGGCTAGATGGTGTTGTTGGGATTACTCACGTTATGGAGACGTGTTCATGGCGAAAATGTCTCTCCCTCATGTGAAGAGCTTTTTGTTGTTTATACATTACATGAGGACCCCACTCCCAATCGCGGTTGGTACCACTTTTCTCCGAGGGCAAGAAAGATGATCACTAGACTATGCTAACTACCATAGCTGGAGCACTCATTTTTTGATTCTAGGAGGAGAGTGGACTACTAAAGAAGACTAGACTTTGGTTCCCATGGGATGGGGTGCACCTAGGAGAATAGGTATAAATTTTGCCATTATTTTTTTTTGTTGTGTCCCTTTCACCTTCACTATATTTTTAACTCCTTTTTAGGCTTGCCAGAGTTATCAGCGGACCAAGAGGGAAGACTTCAAGCCATAAGGGTTCACCCTGTAAAGGACTATAGGACTCTTATGTCTAGAGAGGGTCAAGCTAGGGGTTCCCCTTTTGGAGANTCCTTTTTAGGCTTGCCAGAGTTATCAGCGGACCAAGAGGGAAGACTTCAAGCCATAAGGGTTCACCCTGTAAATGACTATAGGACTCTTATGTCTAGAGAGGGTCAAGCTAGGGGTTCCCCTTTTGGAGATGATTTACCTTCTTCCTAGGCCTACAACTCTTTCTCCAAGTTTTGGCTCATCTAAATGAAAATGGCATACCCGTAAAGAACCTATTATGCTCTAATAAGCTTGGAAAGAAAGAAGAAAGATAGAAGCAGACCTTCATTTTGGCAAATCTGAATTTTGTAACACAAGGGTGCACCCCTTCCATCAGTCTGATCTACTTATCAGGATCTATACTCTACTAGGGTTGTGCAAGAGACTTCTCCACCTAAGAGGGTGACACTGGATGATGCTCCTACGAATTCCCAATAGGTGACTCATTGACATGTTCTAGTTGTTCAGACAACTTCTCTAGCTACTTCTCCAGTCGGGGCATCTCAGGAGGCAAAAGTTCACTCTCCCGCTAAGATTAGGACGCCATCTGTTCCTTCTATATCCATGCTTTAGAATGTGAATGTAGCTAGGAAACGGCATTCGAGGTTCATGACACCCTTGGATATCCAAGAAGTTAGCCATCACGGTACTAAAGGTAACACTATGATGGAGGGCCTGGTCACGGTTATCATACATTCTTCTATGGAATTTCATTCTTTATGTCCTCTAATGACATAGGCATTTTCCTCTTTCTGCATGTTTGTAGATGTCCACAGAGACTACGTGCCTTTTTGTGAGGGCTACCCATCATGATCATGTATCAAGGGTTCTGATGAAAGAGAGACAGACTCTGTGGGCTATTAAGGAGGAGTTGAGGGTGGCTCATGAGAGAGCCGCATCTCTTGAGACTGAGCTTTTGGCGACCCGTGAGAGAGCCACTAAACTAGAGGCTAACAGTGAGGCTGTCCATACGGGAGTAAACGCAAAATTATAGGTAGCCCATGAGAGGACCACCTGAGTTAAGGTAGAGCTGCAGCCAACTCATGAGAGGGCTTACAAATTTGAGGTAGAGCTGCAATCGACCAATAAGAGGGTTTCCAAAGCAGTGCCTCACTCCCTGGAGATAGAGAGGATGAGGGAGGATGATTAGGGATGACAGTGGACCAAAGCGGGGGACAGAGGGTGTAGTCTACATACCCGTATTCGCTTAAAAAACTCCATCAATCCCCGGTTCACCACCTTTAATGGGCATAATTTTCATCCTCATCCCCGTCTGCGGGTAAATTTGTAATTCTTGCCCCGGCTCCTGCCCCTATACCTGTCCTCTGTACCTGGCCTAGCCCAAGCAAATATATTTCAAAATTCTAAATAAATCCAACATTCGAAATAATCTAACATAATTATTGAATAGCATAACATAATTAAAAGCTTGTGTACAACATAATCCAACATAATATAATTAAAAGCTTGTATCCCATGTAAATCCAACACAACATCATACAACACAACATAATATAACATTACATAATCCAACATAACACAAACAACAAATGTCCNAGCATAACATAATTAAAAGCTTGTGTACAACATAATCCAACATAATATAATTAAAAGCTTGTATCCCATGTAAATCCAACACAACATAATATAACATTACATAATCCAACATAACACAAACAACAAATGTCCAAAATACTGCTTGCTTATTTGTAATGGAGAAACGTTTCTGCCATGTAGCTTCACACCTATAATTTAATAAATAAAATAAAACATAGAAAACTATAATAATTACATAAAAAATATTTTGTATTTGCTAATAAAATTGATTGGTGGTTGAAATTGAAAAATTACTAACTCAATCATCTCTTAACACCATCGGTGGTGGTAGAATCTACTTCTTTAACATCATTTTCCTACATCATTAAAAGAAAAAAAAACTATTAGATTCTTCCAAAAATAAATTTCCAACTAAAATGATATACGTCATCCTCCATATCAAGATCTTCCAATTATTTGTAGCTTTTCAGGTCCGTCGAAGTGGATGAACCTAACAAAAAAATAATAATGCATTAGTCATACTTTATCCCCCAAAAAAAATTATGAAGCACATACAAATAATATTCATTACCTCGTTCTTTAGCCCTTAACCAACTTCGAGAACACATTAAATCCTCTATTGTAGTTGGAAAATTTCTATTGCAATGTGGACTAATCATCCTCCCACTTATGTTAAAAGCAGATTCCGAGGCAACAGTAGAAACATGAATAGAAAAAAGATCTTTAGCAATCATTTGAAGCATGGAATACTTGAGACCACTTGTCTTCCAAAAAGATAGTATATCAAAATCTGAAGCTCTTGACATCATACCATTTTCTAAGTAACAATCCAACTTAGACCTCCCACGCGCTTTTATCATGTCTTTTGTTTGTATAAACTTATCAAATTCAAAGAGATCATCAATTAATGGGTATTTGGAATCAATATCTGATTGAAAGGAGGGGAGGAGAAGGTTGCAGTTCATAATTATTTCCTTGCCTCACTTCATATTCACCTACTAATTCCAAGCAAAGCTCCTTAATCCTCATCACTTCATTTGAAACTTCAACATCTCCATACATTTTTTCATAGTAATTACTCCAAAATTCCTATACCATAGATCTAAAATATTGGATCTTCAAATTGGAGTATTACCATGGATCTAAAACAGTGGCTATTCCCATAACACCATGAATCATACTCCAATATTTGTTAAACTTTTTCAACATATTCAAAGCCATATCTTTTATCACATCTTTGGGACTTTGAAGCCATGTAGATATTTCTACCCTTATCCCACAAATATTTGGAAAGTATACATTGACAGTAGGATACTTTATTTTTGAAAACAATTTTGTTGCACTATAAAACAATTCCAATTTTTCACAAATCTCTCTTGCCACCTCCCATTCATCTTCAATCGGACAAATCTTATAATGAGAATTTGATATTTCAAGGGAGCAAACACATCTCTGTAAATCAAACTAGCTTGAAGCATGAAAAAAGTTTAGTTCCATCGAGTCTTAACATCAAGAGCAAACTTCTTGTTACTTTGAATTTATGTATTTGATAAGCTGCCCCTTCAAATTTTTGCATTCTCTAGGGAGATGTTGTCAAATAAGCAACACTATCCTGAATTCTTTCAATACCATCTCCAATCACATTCAAACCATCTTGGACAATTAAGTTGAGAACATGTGCATAGCAACGCATATGGAACAATCGACCATGAAATATTAATGAACCAAATGAAAGTTTATCCAACAAAATAGCCACAATTGCATCATTAATGGTACAATTATCCAGGGTCAAAATTGTCAACTTTTCTAACAAGGCTCCAGTCGAAAAAGTAATCCATCAAACACTCCATAAGCACTTCCTTGGTATACGGATAAGACACATATAAAAATTGAAAGATAATACAAATATAAAAGAAAGATCATTAGATATTTAAAATAAATAACATATGTTAATGAAAGATCATTAGATATTTAACATAAATAAACATGTTACTGAAAGATTATTAGTACCTTATAATTCAACTTTGCAAGGTCCAAGAATTGTCAATAAAGTGTGTGGTGATTGTCATGTATCCCTTTCTATGATTGCTTGAGGACCACATGCCCGTAGTGATAGCAACTCTACTTTTTATTTTTTCCAACAACTTCATAGTCTTCTCTTTTTCGGTTTTGTAAATTTGAAGGATATCATTTCTAAGAGTATTTTGAGATATTATTTTGAACATGGGTTAAAGAGTGTAACAATATTTTTGAAACCAATGATGCTCAACCATACTAAGAGAATATTCATGTAATATGATCATATTGGCAAGATCCCTCATCCCCGCCTCTTGAATAAATCGTCAGTTCTCCATGGTTTTCTCGGTATCCTTCTTTGATTAGTTTGATACCAATAAACATTGCTTCAAATTTTTATATTTTTTCCTCAGACAACTTTTAAGATGGTCATATAAGTGGTTGGTTCCATTCCTAGCACCACTAACAAGCAATTTCTTACATTCATTACACTCAGCTTTGAACTTGTCATCAATTGTTTTCCTCTTGAAATGANACATGTGCATAGCAACGCATATGGAACAATCGACCA